TTGAACTCAAGTGCAACTTTGTATCAACAAATGTTCGTCTTCTGATACTTATTAGCTGTCAGAGAGTCCAGCTCAATGAAAAGTCTGATTCACGTCCTCTGCTCAATTTGCGACACGAGCATAACAGTTTATCAAAACAAAACAATTTATTCAGCACGCTGTTCACCGATATATGATAGAGTGTTTTTTTTAGGCAAGACACACGGTAAAATGACTACTGTACACCGATAAATCGACACATTTTTCAGACAACTATCTAGTCTTCAAAAAGCAATGTAAACTGTCAATCTTAAAAATAAACAACAGCTTGAATGAGGTGTGAATGAGATCGGTTCGAACCGCAGTTTTTATGCAAATTCGTGCGGTCGTCCTGAACCGCACTGTCTATTGTTTAAACTTCCAAACCGCAAAACTGGGTTTTGTGCGGGCGGTTTAGGGCGGTTTGGGTTTTCGTAGGTTTGACCCGCATGTTTGAATATGAGATCACCCCTAACACTTCCTGTGAATATTTATAATTAGATGTTAGCAGAAATTTTTTTGGAACAAATAAACTTACTGCAAAAACAATTCCCACATTTAATGTTGTTTTAAAACTTTTTTTTTTGTGAAATAAATTTCATTCATTCATTCAAAAGCCATGCGATCAAATCCAAGTATTTCCCAGTAAACTTACCAATGATAGTTTCAACATATTCTGATGTGGCATTGACGTTGAAAAGCTCACCAGCACCAAGAGCATAGGTCAGAGATTCTTCAAATGCACCCAGGTGATAATAGACCTGGATTTAAAAGAAATCACACTCTCAGATCACAGATGAGGGAAAACATGTACATAACAGATGTCTCAATTACTCTTATCCATATGCAGGGCTAAAGGAAAGAGGGTTGCTCCCAGGCATCATGAATGTTATCTGGTACCATGTAGAGGACAAAGATTTTACTATACAAGCTTCATGATTTTTGTATTATGTGGTCATGTTCTTTTTTTTTTGTACTCTTGCACTGGCAGAAAAGTCTGTGTTTATCTCATGTGTGAAGACAAAAAATACATACTTCACAAAGACCATGAAAACAAGTACATAAAATAAATGATAATTTGATTATATTAAAAAGAATTGTACCTTAGATGCTACCAAAGCAGCAAGTTTTCGTTCAATGAAACTTTCATCTTCATATAACACTTCACTGCATAAAAAGAACAAACATTATCACAACTTAGTCAAGTGACCTATTCTGTAACCACTGCTTATTTTTCTGTAAAGCCATTGTATTTATGCTAATTGTAAACTTGCCACATTTGTATTCATAAGCAGAATGTAAAGCGGCATTGTACCATATTTATTCGGGTAAGAGCCCATGCCAGGGTGAACGTTGAAGATTTTGACTTTGACAAAGGAGGCGATGAACGTACAAATAGAGATTGGTAACATTTTTTCTTTTTTCAAACAACTATGAACTTTCAAAATTTTCACTGTGTAAATTTGTAAATTATTATTGATCTTGTATGACCGTTGATCCGATATTTGTCAAAACCAGAAATAATTTTATGCAGTTTGACCCCTGACATTTTAGTTCATTTTGTGTTGAAGCATATTTGGAGTGTTTGTAGGAAGGGAAATCCTAATTCAAATGATTCTTCACTGTCGATTTTTATTATTTCTGGTTTATTCGTCGCATTATAAGCAACTTATATAAATTATTTTTGTTTTAATGTTGCATATTGTTCATTTATTTCTGTTGCATTTGCCATTCTATTCTCTGCAGCAGTTCAATCTGTTGTCAATTTTCACGAATTTTCTTTTTTTTTCGCAGGGGATGTCCGGGCATAGGCCCACCCCTATTTTTTGGCAATTTTCCATGTTCAGGACCCTACACATCTTGTAAAGTGCTATTTGTAAATCAGACCCTGTACCTTAGCTAATACAATGGCTGAGACTATGCAGCTTTAGCTAAAGAGCAGTGTCTGTGGTTGATTGCGAGCAAAAAGAGTTCTTCATAAACTAATGGAAAAGTTGGCCAGGGATTGGGTTTGAACCAATAACATTACCACAACTGACTGAGCTACATGTATTAATAATTCCCATGAATGTTCAATTTAAATAGACACCTTTTAAATTATTGTTGTTACATGGTTGCGTTGAATTATTGATGACAAAGCGTATAATACATAATAAATTTTTTTTGTATTTGTTTATGTAAATTATCTACGTTCAGTGCTGTGCAGTGCAATGCGACTGAATGCTAAATTTTCTAATTTTATCGTTTTTTTCATTGTACAAGACTGAAACAATCACGCAAAAGTGTGTGTTCACAGATAAAAACTCACAATTTACAGTTTCTTGCACTTTGCATTCAGGCAAGCACATGTGCCAAACATGGAGAAAGTCAAAAGAATCCAATTAAATAGACTCCCAGAAATATTGCTCAGTTTTCTATGAATTTAGAGCAGAGGTGGAAATGCTGATGCCATCTGGAAGAGCAATAAGTTTTGTTCTTCTTACTTAACTGTTGATTTCTACCCATTTTATCCTTAAAAAGTCTCTCTAACAAATATACCATCTCTTTTGATAATAGCAACACATTGTTTTCATTTTTATTTGGTGTTAATACAAAAATATAGTTCAAAAAATACTGAGGCAGAATACAATACATGAAAAACAGTAAAATTGACCATGACTGAAACACATTAGTCAAAAAATTCAAGAATGATCACAAAGAATGCACAGCAATGTATGAATTTGTTCGAAGAGAGCATAAAAGATACATATCACTTACATCTTAGTCACAATATCAGATACTTCAGCCCAAAATTCATCTACAATATAATTCAGTTTCTTCAAAGCAAATACCTACATAAAAATGTACATTAGTATCATTAAAATTTACTTCAAGTAAATCATTTGTGTTCAAACAAGTAACATCTATATTACACAACTGTACCATCAGAGGGTACTGTATATTACCGGTATTACAAAAATTACATAGCTCTGTAACTCAGAAGGAACTATAAGTTTAAAATAAATGATTGATAAATACAATTTATGCCACCCTCCCTTTCTTTTATTTACTGGTATATATCGTGTTTTTCAATTAGTTTGCTAGTTGAATTTCTCTATTTGTAATAATAATGAATATTGTCACGTTTGATATTTGAGCATCTTTATCCATGTCACATTTTTTTTTAAAAACTTCTTTGCTCATTTTCATAATACCAGGTAGTATTATTAATAAAACTGCGTTTTTGTACTCGTTGTCTATCATTTATGCTTGAAGAAATATCATTCTAAGCAATAATGAGCATAATTACCAGAGTGAAAAATTTTTTAAAGAGAACTTGCTTTTCTATCATACATTGTACATGAATACTAAGGAAGATCTGTCTATATACCAGTATTCCCTGACGATATTGATATGGACTACAATGCCTTATTCACTGATGTACAATTTCCAGTGTCTGAAATTATATGCATCAAAAATTATATGCATCAAACTTACCTTCAATTCTGCCTCCTTCTCATCCAACAGAGCAATCACACCAGCTACGAAAAAAACAAAAATAAGAAAACTTGCTAAATATACAGGCAGTCATTGATGTTTAAATATTAATATCCTGAATGACAACAACATAAAGCAATTTGTAGGTTGAAATTGGATTCTGGAAAAGAGGAATAATTTCACACACTGTCAAGATATCAGCATACTTCAGAATACACCACTGCACTAGTGCTAATACAATACATCATTATATGCAAATTGGCAGAACTTTGGCTATCAGGAGTTTCAAGAAAGTAACATAAGTATCTAATAGTGTTCCAAGCAGAAAGTAAATATGCGAGGAAGAATTGGTAAAGAGTATGAAACCCCCTCAATTGCTACATTCACACAGCAGCATTCTACCAGAGCTGAACTACTGCTCTTCCCCTCGATTAACAGGAGATTATCTCCAATGTGTTTACACGTTCGGGGTTGAATGAGAGCCGAGATCTGCCAGAGTTCAATTCAGTTCGATCAGAGCTGAACAGGACAGTGCTTCAAATAATTAGTATGAACAAAAAACATGGCTAAAAAATATTTCCAAGATTTATGTACTATTTTCATTCGTATTTTGTTGTTGCGCTTGTGTTGTTTCTTTACATGGCACGATGCTGTTGAGCTTCAAAATTACCATTTAGTAATTGTTCAACTGTTGTGACATGTGTAACAGTTGTCAATCTAAACCTACTAGGAACATGTGGCCGTACCTAGACCACTTCTATGATTTTTATCTTCGGTGTCTTTAAAAAGTTTCTTCAATTTCCATTGGATCTGTTCAGTCGTTCTTTCAAGTTTTTGTCACATAATTTCGTACGCCATTTTTAGTTTCCTGTTGAGTTATTAATCTATCGCAATATTTCTTTACTATGCCAAATAGATATTAGGGCACAGACCTCTCTGTCAAGCCGGAAATTGTCTCCATGATAATTGAAATGAGAGGTTCCTTGAAGAAGATGATTGATGGCACGATTTGGGCTCCGATGCATATACATGGTCAGGGCCATGCCGGGGCTCAACCCTATCAGAGTTCAACCCTGAGGGTTTATTGGAACCGAACTTGGCTTGAGTCGGTTCAAACCAAATGCATATACACGGCCAATTTTGCTGGCTCAAGCCGCATGGCTCCGATAAAATGCTGTCATGTGAACAGGGGCATTTTATTTTTTGTATAGATCTAGAGATAGTGTCCTTATATGCATGAATTTATGAATTATTTGATGTGAAATGATATGGTAATTGTTGCATATAAAAACAGGTTTGTTTCATGGAATTTAAATACCTAAAATTGACAGTTATTTTTTTGTGCATGTCACATCGGAGTAAAAAAACAAAGCCTGAGACAAAAATCTAAATCATGTGGCAAATGTCTCATGTCTGGCAAAAACTTTAATTGGTCTAACAGTAAACTTACTAAGAAATGTCAACAAATAAAACTGAAAGACAGTCAAATGTGATTGATGAACTTTTATTCAAGGGTATAAATGAAGAAATAGTAACAACGTACAAAACTGAACAACTTAATATCACGTACTTTACTACTACTGGTTTGATTTCAGGGTTTCAATAGCCATTTCCAACTTTTGAGTTTAATAAATATAACTACATGATTGGGTCTAGGTTAGGGTCATTCCAGTTTTTGTCCACACCCCCCCTACGGATGGGTTAAATCCGAGGGGTCATATTTCTACAAAAAGTATGGATGGTCCAATTCCGAGAGGTGTCATTTTTTGACTATTTTCTTTCTATATCCACACCCCTACAGATGATTTAATTCCGAGGGGGGTCATATTTTTGATATTTTTTTTTTCATATCATGCACACTCCCCATAGATGATGTGAATCCATGCGGTCGTAATTTTTAAGCTTCCAAGGGGTAGGTTTGTAAAAAAAAAATCTGTCAGCCCAAGAGACCTGGGGGGAGGGTGTACGCCCTTTTAAAATGCATGCAGTCATACGTGGCTGTACCAATGCTCGCAATGTTTTAACCGAAAAA